TACTACTAGTAAGGCACTTGTTACTAGAAGCGATGCACTTGTTCCTATAGTAGCTTATTGTTTCTAATAGCTTGTGAGTGCTTGTCAGTGCCTGTCAGTTTGGTTGAGTTCTCAAAGTTCAAAAACAAACGGCGATTTGTTCACCAGCAAACCGCTGATACCACGTGGTCTCCTCGACGGCGGCCTGGCAAATGCTGCGGAGGGAGCAAGTTGCAGAGCTCAATCCCGGGACCGGGGTTTGTAGATGCCAAAAGCACAAGTGATCGCAGCTGGTTCGACGCCTCACAAAACACCGCAGCATCTTTGAACAGGTTGAGATGCTTTACCTGCAAATCTGCTAAAGAAAGAGCATCCACTGTCTGGGTCGTCTCAGGAGCACAACATTGCACCCACCTCAACCGTATGTCAAAATGTGTCAACTCTAGCCACCTGTGTGAGGACTCCCGTCCCATCCTTGAGTTTTCTCTAGAAAGCAGCTGTGGCAACATTTTGCAGGCTGCCTGAGGAAAAATACTATACTATATATATATATATAATTATTGTATATATATATATATTATTATACAAAAATGATCCAAAATATGTAGATTAAAATGTTCTGACCCTGAGACCCTCACCTGCTTCCGCCCGCCCGGTCCAACCCATCCCGAGGCCTCACGCGTCGCCTTCTCGGCGTCCGCTTTGGCGAGCGTCTCCTCGGCCTTCGCGATGTCCGCCTCGAACTTCGCCTGGAGACTCAGCGTGGGCAGCGTGGGCAGGGGTCACACACCCGGATGTGAAGGTGGAAATGAATCAACATGGGAACCCCAAACATGTTGTCCTCCGTTTCCCGAGGTGGGCTCGCCTTGTTTACCTCACCACATGCCATGATGTAAAAAATAGTAAAGACGCAGCGCTTCACCCTGCATGCGGCCTTAATGGACGCCAAGACTTCCTGCGCCATGCCTGCGACCTTGGCCTGGGCGGTGGAACGTGTGTGGTGTGGTTAAAGACGCAGAAAGAGTATAGGGAGAAAGACCACCCCAAGTCAATGAAGGAGTGGATGACTGGAAATTTAGAGGGTCCCTGTGTCTTTTCCACAGGCGAGTGAGGAGTTGAGGTGCCCAAATGCATTGGTCTATCAGATATCAGTCTGTCTTTTTTTGGTTACAATATGATCCTTTATCTAACTGGTTCTAACAGCATGTCCATGTTTGTCTCTGGCAAGCCAATGACCCTCATGTCATGAAAAAAACACAAAGTTGCTTGAGTTTCAAACTGTCCATCGAACCATTCTCAAACAACCTCTGCTCACCCATTTTCCACACTGTTCGTGGATCCTCCCACCGACGCGAATTGGCCGCGTCCGCGTTCTCGGCCGCGCGGCCTGGAACTCGTGCCGCTCTTCCTTGAAGTCCCCAAGGCCTCGGAGCGCGAGAACGGTCGCCGCGCGTTTGGGGCCTATGACTCAACAGAGTTGTGCTGCCAAGGTGGCGATACAAGGATCTATAGTATTAACAATATGAATAATAGGATAATGAAATAAATAACATTGCTATATATATATATATGTATGTACAAACAATATTGATCTACTGAAAAGCACATACGGTAGATCCGTGAGGTTCAACCCTCTTTGTCCAGAACTTAGGGCCATTCAGGTGGGACACCCTTTCGGCCCTTAGGGGACACTCCCACCATCTCCCCATCTCCCGCTGAGGCAGCAGCAGTTGGCAAGGTTCTCACCTGAATGAGGTGAAGGGCTTCTGCACTGCTGTCAGAGGCCACAACTGACACTACTGAAGTGCTCCAAGAAGAGACGATCTTAGGATTTTCACAGTGATTCACATGTGTTCAAATCTGTCATTTCCCCTCAAGCGTTTCTAGCCCAGTTACGGAGAAAAGGCTAAAAGGTGTTCACATCATCGGTTCATCCTTTTTTTACACCAGACCACTCAAAACCGATCTGAGGAGCCCGGTCCAATCATCTGCACCACCAAGGCGGGATATCCTTCGGCACCCTTCATCGCACTGTAAATCTCCTCAACGCGAGTCATGATTTCAAGCCTCATCTTCCAAACAACGGGGTTTCTTGAGATGGATCCAAATCATCGAGTAGTGTGCATGAAGTGTCGACAAATCATGTCCTCTGTCTTTCTACGAGTAGGTCCCTCGATGACATTTAGCAGCTGATGAGCACGTTTCCTCGCTTCCACAAGTGGGGGGGGGAACGATCGGCATTTTCGGGCTCGGGTGGCCCCCGGCAAATATACAAGACCAATCGGCGCTTCGCTAATTGGCTCTGAGCCGATGCTGGAGCTTGCCTTTGGCTCAGAAATAAATTCGCAGTCCAAGTAAGAATGTTGAGCACATCCCTGGCTTGGTAAATGTCCATAAGGAATCCACACCATCTCAGACAACATGGCTGTCTCCTTTTCACAGTCGTAGGCACCTATATCTCTTGTGAGGTTCATCTACTACTGCTGTCTCAGTGGAGCAGACCCCTCTGCGAGGAGGGAACTGAGAAGCATCTGGACCATAAAACGAACAGCACCTCCATTGACCAGTGATTCCTATGGCGAGCAGCAGGAGGCACCAAACCCAAGACATCCTGCTTGTGTCCATTTCCCACTCCGGTTTGGCTCCTTGCCAGGCTCAACCCAAGAGCATTGTCCAACATCTTTTCACTATACGGAAGTTCCCCATAAAGTTCTAAAGGAAAAAATGAACCTCATATAACACTCTGCCTCTTTTGAGGTCCTTGACCTCATTCCCTCTCGAGTTCTCCCTCGCACGAGGACCGAGCTACGGCAGGGCGAGGGCGAATGTTCCGCCTCGCCCCGTTAGGCGCCTCTCAGCGTGCGAGGAAAGCTGTACCATACTGGAGGTCGTGAAGGTTTCCACAAGCTCTTTGATTCACTCTAAACCCGCGCCCAGTTGGAGACCATCGCTAGTAGGTTGGAGGCCATCGCTATTGGGTTCCTTTTGCTAATCGCTCTTTAGGTTGGAATTTCTTCCACCAACACCGGCACGCCTTTGAGGACGGAGCCTACGGGTCTTGCCAATGAATTCTATCGCCTCTACCGTGCAGCACGGGAGGCGAGGCCTACAGCCTCTCCATTGAACCTGTGTTCGCTGGAGATCGCTGCTACAACGAGACGAGACGAGTCTGAGGCTTCTGTTTGATCCTGTGACCCCTCACATCTTTCGCATCCGTAACCAAGGAGCTGAAGCTAAAGCATGTTCAGAGATATTCAAAGCACTGCTGTTTCGTCTCAAAAGGTACAGGCACTGATAGATGGCGCGTGATTCGGCAGTCCAATCCTTCAACCTGATTCGATCTTCCGTTTTTCAGCTTCTTGCCATCCATTCAGTCGAAGCCGGCTAGAAAGCATCGCGGAAATCGCACTTCGGAGCCTCTGTAAAACAGTGGAAACCGAACGAAACAGAAGGGTTTCCTCAGTATACCCTGGTCACACGAAAGAGATCGAAAGAGTTCATACCCAAGACTGCTTGCTCATCCATGCTCATCTCGAAAGAGGCTATTTCTTGATAATTTCTTAATATCTCTTTTGGCTGCGATGTTCATCTCTCAGCGGCCCTTCGGGTTGTCCACTTTCACCATGGTGGGGACGATGGGGCCCGGCATTCCATTGACCACCACCTCTCCAGGTGTTCGAGCAAATCTCGACGAAATGAGGCACCTCCAACCGTCGGTGAAATGGATGGCCCACTTAGGACTCGGGTACCAGTTGACTCAACTGGGTCTCAGTTGGACCTCCCAACCAAGCCCCTTCTTCGGCTCAAGACTGCCTTTTCATGAAGGAAAACCACAGGTCGCCTCCTGCTCGCCTTCACCAAAGGAGCCACTTCCGCTACGAAAAAGACAAAATGTGTGAGTGTCCAAAGTGCGTGGGTCGAAAGAAAACACCCAAAAGTACAGCCGCGCTTTCCGTCTTCGTCATCAATCGGCTCTCGTTCAGTGGTGATAACCAACCACCAAAGGGTGTTGGGTGTCTCTTTCAGGGAACGCAATAGTGGTGAGAGGGCAGAGTTCAAATTCCTTCCCTCCTCCCTCCTTGACCTTTTAATTCACGCTCTTCCCTGGCCCCCAAACAGTCCATCAAGGTCCAAAGTGCCCTTGGAGGTTGCCTGTGATTGGCATCGGGTTGCCTGTGCCCCCCCCCGGCGCCTTGCCGATCCGACCGAGCGAGGTGCCTGGGCGCGTTCGGTCGTTGAGACAGACAGGTCCCATGTCGTCAGGTCCAGGTAGGTCCAGTGTCCACAGGCTGTCACTATCTGTCACTAAAAGGACGGACACATCCATTTGGGTTTGTATTAAAGGAGGGAAACCTCCCCCGGTCCTACCCCCGGCCACAAGGGTCCATTTGCTTCCCGCGGATGGAGCCCGGGTCTCTTCAGCGTGAGGCGTCGCCTCCCCTGTCCGAACAGCGTTGGCTCGGGACCGAGTGGCTCTTCAGCATCCCCGCAGACACGGCCACGGTGGTGTTGCCACCCATGCTGGTGGTCGACTTGGACCTCACAACGTCAGGGGGGTGGTCACCCCGATAGGAGTGGACAGTGTCATCTAAGATACAAGGACGATGGAGAATAAGCAGACCATCAGTGATTAAGGACAGTACATATTGTATCATGATGTTGAGAAGCTTCCAAACACCAGCAGGAGGACTGATCGGGATTTGTTCATGTGGGACCGATCCACACTGAATCCACACAGGGGATGGCTGTCCAAACAAAGGAGCGAAAAGGAAAGAGCTTGATCCTCTCGAACATGTCAGTCCAGCTTGCCGGTGAAATAAGGGTTCACAGCTTGGTTCCCTTCTTCCAAGGGTCAAAAGCTTTTCCAACTGGCATCCTTAACACAACAACTGGGGTGTGGAGAGTGTGTGCATCCATGGTTCCATCTACTTCCAAGGTTCACTTCCAAGTACAACCCCATACATCCCCAACAATTAGCCCCCAACAAACAACCCCATACATCCCCATCTGACCTTCTTGCTGCGGCAAATTGAAACCTTCAGCAATCCACAAGTGTTGGTCACATGCGTCCTCACAGGCTTTGGTCCATGGTCCATATCGATATATATATATATATAATATATATATATATATGCATGCAAGACAGCACGCAGCATTCAACGTTGAGCACAGACTATGACTTCTTCCCCCCCCTGCACTCTTCCACTTCCTTCACTGGGTTCACCACTTTGCCAGGTCACTGCCTCGGACGGTGAAACCGGTGAAAGTGGTAAAAAAACACCTTCGGCCCGGTTTGTTGGGGAGATTCCAGGAGGCCGCCCTGGCCAGGGACCAAGGGTGGTGGACAAGTCCCGGCGCGACTTGTAGGCTTTGGGGTTGGTTGCTCTAAAACACATCCACCTGATGTGAATCATGTGTCTCAAGAAAAATTCGAGCCCCCAAACCCTAGCAGGGGAAAAGGATAAATGACACCATGGCCCTTGGCTTGCCCTCAAGGCAAACTCAAATTGCTCGGAGTGGGCGGCTTGTCATTCACGACAAGCTACGGCTTTGTTTTCGCAAAATCTTGCATCCAAATAGAATCAAATAGAGCTTCAAGAACCCCCCCATCAACCTTCTTCTACCCATCACCTTACAGAATCGATCTCCCATGTGAATCGGTCTCCTCCAAGGCGCTATGGTGCAATCCGTGGCCCTTGGCGCCCAGTGCGACCTGGACGCAAATCCCGTCGGTGCAGATCCGTCAAAAAATTGCCCTTTTCGAAACGGAGCCGAGGAGAGACCTATAGCCTACTAGGCCGAACGAGAAAGGTGTCAAGATTCTGTAATCTGAGTCATCTGTCATCCGTTGATTCGTCACATCCACATCCACAAGTTCCTCCCCTGCAAGACTCATGGTCATTCGTTGTCCTGTCCTTCGAGTCTTCGAATCTTCGCCAGTGGAGGTGAGCCAAGACTGGAGAAAAACACAAAAAGGTCTGGTCACACCGTCCTGCCCTGAGCATTCAATGTTCCTTCTGGTATTGGAAGGGTGGGAAATAGCCACAAAAGCAGATTCTACCATAACTGACATGCCTTAGTCCTAGGTGAATGGCACACAGTAGCCGTGCACAAGAATTGTTTGCTTGTCCGATACTCTTTCTAAGCAATATGTTCCAATGCGTTGGTGCTTAGGGCTTCTCATCGGCTGTCCATCAACATCATCTACAATCTCCAAATCTCTTTCAGCCCTCTTTCAGCCTCTCAATTCCCATCATCCCAGCTGGTCAAGCCCCACATCATCCACTCACACCACTGCAGTCCCCTGGCCAAGCGATCCATCAGCTTGAAGTGATTGTTGGCTTCCGCATGTGCCATGGCCTCGGTCGACCACTCGGTGTAGTCCACTCGGTGTAGTCCACCGCTCTCCCCGAGCAAATAGATCGGGGACTCTTCCTCCAGTGAAACCTGAAAAATTAACTATCTGATAGTGTATCTCGTGTTTTTCATATTGACAAGGGCCTTGAGCTCCTTGCCGAAATCGGCAACATGTTCATCCTTCTCGCCAGTTATTTCTGAAACAAACTGTCAACTGGGCTATCCTATCATTAACTCAAGAGGCGAGCGAAACAAGTGAGATTTAAACAAGAATAAGAATAAGAATAAGCCACAATCACACTACCAACCAAATTGCTTTGAACATGAAACACAAGATCTGTTTAAAGTTACGGGATTGGAGGAGTGCAAACAAAGGAGACCCATTTTTCTACACCAGCATGCAGTAAACGGGCTGAGTTCAGTGCGGTGTATTCACGAACATCCTGGCCGCGGGTACCGCATCTCACTTGGGTTGGTCTCTGTTTTGGAGGATGCTAATGCAAAATCACCAGATCGCACTTGCTCTTCCTCAATAAATGGACTGTCTAAAACGAGGGTGAGACGTCCCTGTAGCAGAAGGCCCTCTTTGGAAAGGCCTTGTGATCATGATTTCCAAGGAATAGACTTCATCCAGGTTTCCTCACAAACCCTGGGCTCCAATTGCGCCGAATTCAGCATCCCAGCATGTACCAGCTGTCCTTGGCGTTCATGTCTGCCCCCACTTCAAGCAACAGCATCGTAGCCTGACGGGGCAATCGTCCGACGACGATTCATCACTCATAAACACAGTGGATTTAGCCAAGCTCTGCACAACCTTGCAAGTCAAGTGTCAGATTGCAAGCGAGCTATCAGGTTTCTCTTTGAACTTCAAGGCATTTGGTGCTCTGAGGGACTTGTCTCCTCGTTCAAAAGGCCTCTCCAGATCAACAGGGCCAGCATTTCTCAACAGAAAGATGTCAATGTGCAATCATGTTCTCCAAAGAAAAAGCCCGAAGAAGCGCAGCTTACTGTATCTATATATATATAACTAAAAGGGGATTCATGTTCCATCCATTCCGGGAGAAGTTGACTGTGTGCGACCTTCCCACTTGATTCTTGCTTCAAATGTGCTGGTCGGGCACCTGCGTGTGCCCACCCATTGCCGCCAAGTGGATGGGAGTCCGCTTCTTGTGATCACCAATGTTCACCTTGCTATCAACAGAACTCAACCTGCCACAAATTGCATGAAGCTATAGATACGTGTGTATAATGGTCCACTATATGTGGTGTGTTGTCTTTTCAGGATGAATGTAGTGTTGACTATGTAGTAATTTACCAAAAAAGAAAACACTACCACTATGGTTTTACATCTCCATAAGCCGGGTTGTGCTAATCAACAGTCAACATTACCTCAAATCCTTCAGTGATTCTTCACCACTGTTTCTGTGGGATGTTCATTTAGGCAAACCGCATGCTGTCACTAACTCAAATCAGCCTCTCTCTCTCTCTCTCTCTGAGCGCCCTGAGCCTCAGACATCAGCGCCCCACTCCAACAAGCGGCAAATCCCGTCCACATCGTTGTTTTGTGCGGCCACGTGCAGCGCAGTCCTAAAAAATAGCAGTGAGGACGGAACATGTGATTGTTTTTGGCAATCTAGCCTTTTGGTGAATTCACCACCAATTGTAAAACCTCATATGGGTGGTTTGATTTGTCAAGAGTCTATATGGGGTGTTGCTTAGATGGGTACAAGCTGGCGAAGGAGATCCACATGAATCTGGTGGGTCAATTCCGGCAGGGTGGGCCCCTCAATTCCGTCGGGCCCTTCAGAAGCCTTCCCACGAGGAGCCTTGAGAAATTCATGATACTTCTGATATGGCCGCACATCACGCTCCCCAGTTTTCTCCTCCCCTCAGCATCTGCAGAGTTGATCTTCACACCATAGATGTGCAAAAACCTCACACGCAGTTCACTGACCCCCATGGAACAGCGTAATTCGGTTGCCTCTGAGGCAAAAGCAAGGAACTGCGGTGCAGATTGGACAGGAACTGCAAACCCATTGGATATGCACAGGTCAACACACGCACTTGGAGGTTACTGCACACAAACGTGCCACACCAAACAAATTGGCGGAGATCGCAGCGAAGTTCTGGATCTGTTTACAGGCTGTTCTCTCCCACTTCGTTCCAAGGCGCTCCATGATGTCATATCTTTTGTTCCTGGTGACGATGTTGAAAGCCTAGGTGATCACTTGCATCACCCTCCGCCCTCCCAACCACTCCCTGTGATCAATCTTCAGAGGAGAACCCACGGCTTGCAGGTTGGCTACAGAAGATCCTTAATGCTCTCCTAAGAATAGGCAACTCTGTTGGTCTTTTTCGAGCAGCATGCGCTTGGTGACAGGTATTCTGCGCTACCAATGTAACTTGAGAGAGGAGGGGGTGAACGAAAGGTAGCAGGCAATCACAAGTAACCCTGGTAGAAGTCCATGACGGCGTGAACCGGCGCAGGGGTGATTTGATCCAGGGGGGGCCCCCCCCCGACGAACAGAATCAACTCTTACAGGACCAAACTCAATGCACAATCCCAACTCCTGATTGTAATACATTTTTGCTAAAGCAAGGAGAACTCAGGTAGCTCAAGCTACCTTTCGTGACTTGGCTTCTGCAAACCACTGCCACAGCCAGGCCGCATCCTCCATGACAATCTGTTCGCACGAGCATCCACTGTCAAAAGAAACCCCCCAGCAAGAGTAAAGTAACCAAACCGATGGTCACCTTCCCCCGATGTTCACCATGGCCTTCTCCGAGCCCTCATCTCCCCCTTTCAGAAACCGAAGTTCTCCAACTCCGCCCCAAAATCCCCCCCGCGGACACCACCCTTCCCCACGACCCACGACCAGTTCGACGGGCGCCCGAGGCACCGTCTCGCCGCGCTTGGAGATGGCCATCAGCTTGGCTCCGCGGCGGTAGCAGAGCTTCGCCAGGCCTGGCCGCCGGTGTCTGGTGCGGCTCGGTCGGGTGAGAGCCGGTGTCAGACGGTGGGTGTGGCTCAAACCCCCAGGCAAAGGATATTTATGACGATTTATGACATGGACACGAAAATATGGGATTTGATCCGTTTGATCATGTCTTTTGTACTTGTCCCAAAGATCTTAGAAGAGAAACAAAAACAAAGCGAGATGGTGGAGAGGACAAGACCGCCCTCGAGCTATGAGCCATGACAACACACTGAATTTGTCAAGTCCAAATATCCAACTGAAAACAAGCCTACAATTGATATGTCTCGTTTGTTGCAATCCTGCATTGCTCTTGGGATCGCCTCTGCCAAGCGTTCTCAGCCACTTGCAAGCATGTCCCAGTCCCGATGTTTGTTTGCCCTCCCCCAATCCAACCTAGCAACCACCCTGGAAGACTGAAATCCTCTTCCAAACCCACTCGTTCATTTGGGATTCTACTTTCGTTTAGGAGAGGATCAGTTCCCTAAAACGACCATTCGCCCATTCGCTCGGCCTAGGTTCCCTGAGGTGCAGGCAAACCTCACACCGAGCGCACACGCGACCGCCGAACCGAGGACGAGCGACCAGAAGAGCAAATCCAGCCTTCTACGACAAACGAGAAGACAGGAGACGGAACGAAGAGACGGAACCAAGAGACGCAAGATTGCAGAAACGAACACATACACCATTCTTTCGGGCCACTACTTAGTTCTCTTTGTGGGGCTAGGACGCTACTAGGGGCTCCTGGCATCGCTACTAGGAGCAAGGGCCTTACTACTAGTAACAAGAAGCTAGTAGAAACAAGAATTAGTAATTAGAATCTTCTTGTTACTAGTAGTAAGGCCCTTGCTCCTAGTAGCGATGCCAGGAGCCCCTAGTAGCAAAGGAATCTACTAGGACCTTGCCCCAAATCGGTCCGCGGCTCGGTGACGATTTCTGAGGTCTCCACTCCAGCAGAGTCATGTCGGACTCAACCTCATGTTGAACGCTGCATTCAGAGTGGACAAAAGGAACTTCCAAGGAAGATGTCAGGAACCACACAAGCGAAGGAACTTCCTTTTATGGCATTCATCCAGGAATTCACAGCGAATTCCTAAGCCCAATCTCTTTGTTACGTTGATCGACGTGAAGAAAAGAACTGCACGAGCTGGCATACAATGTAACATAATGTATATTACCAACTGACTTGTCTTTCCGCTTAAGAACCTCAAAGCGCTTGGCTCCTTTCCTGGAGCACGAAAAAACAATTCTCAAGGCCAAGGGCATGTGTGGAGGGAGGAACTGCTAAGCTCGAGCATCACCTCTGCCATCAACTCGTTTAATGGCGCCAAATTAAAAACCTCCAGCAGGACTTCTCTGTTGATGGTGTAACTTCGCATAGTCTACTGTCTCCAGTATGACGATTTTATTGGCTTAAACCATCTACATCCAACATGTAGCAGTCCCATGCCCAGACGTCCCCGGCATCCACCGCATCGATGTCGGTGGTTTCCAGCAAGCGCTCCAGCATATTCATCAAGACAGTTCCTGTCCTGGCCGTGGTCATCGCCCATGGACCATGAAACATGAAGAAACCCACCATGAACCACTTGGAAAGCTCGGATAGATCTGATTCTGCAGCTCATAAAGGTTTCAAGTGCGAAAGCTGCTGCACCTCGTTACAATCTGCTTCAGGTTGAAGGTCTTGGCCTTTTCCTGCGGAATAGGGAGATACGCATCAAATGCAACTGCCCGTGCTGAGGATTGGATCCTAGGACTCAGGTAATGCCGACTGCTCACAACATGGGTGTGTCTTGAAATAGGGAGACCTCCCAGAGGCCTCCTGGAAGAAGAAAAATAGACCCAATCCCATTGCTTGGGTATCTCCATGTATCTCCCCATTAGAACACACACCGACATTCAGGTCAGCAATCTTGCAGGGTGATGGCGTGAAGAGCCGTGACTTCGCTCTGGAATTGTTTAAAGCTTTCCCTCCCCGGATTGCAAAAGCCTCCGTGAAAGCCTTCTTAAAATGGACGACTATAAGCTCGAACAAAGGCCTTGCTCTCAACCAAGTTCTCGAGCTTTGGTTGGATATGAAGAAGCTGCCGCATGTCCAAATCAAAACTGTAAATCGATTTCTTCGCTAAACCCTGAGCATTGCTTCAACGCATCGCACCAAGACAACTTGTGGCAAGATCCCAAGAGGTGTTCATGCGTTTGGTCAATATCTCTTTTATCCACAGAAATCACAGGAACCAAATCTTTCGAGAAATGGTGGAGTGATCCCCAAAAACAAACACATCAGCAGAATGACTATATATAAATTGAAATTGAACTGAAGACCCACTAAAGACTGTCGTTCACACCACCCGGTCACCCAAAGGTTTCTTGGGCACCATACCCTTTTTCATGCACATGGAGTGCACATATCCTCCAATCATTATAGGATATTCTAGGATTTTCTGACAGGCGCTTAGTAGCCCATAAGGGAAATGATCCCACCACGATCAGCACCTCAAGATCTAGCCACCCTCGTTACCACCCCATCCGGCAAACCGTTTGACCACTGCCACCATCTCCTTCGCGGGTTCGAAGGCGCTCTTCAAGTCCGCAAAGGGGTCCGAGACCTCAACAACCGGACCGGGCCGGCTTCGACCGTCTGACTGGTGCGGTCCATTCGGTGCAGGCCATGAGACCTCTGTGTGATTGGAGCCTTCTTCTGGGATTCATCGACCCAAACTCTGTCTTTCGGCTGCGATGTTTTGAGAGGTGTCTCTTTTTTGGTAAGTATTGACCTCGGGCAAAGACTGGGAAATTGCTCAGCTATGTTTTGCTTGTAGTAGAGGGTACCGGGTACTGATCCTAGTCTCTGGCGTGATACAACAGGTCAAGTCAGGGGAGAGTTGGTTTGACTCCGTAACGGAAAAGAACGAGGTCGGAAGTCTTAGGTGCAGAATGCCAAAGCCAGCCTGATTGAAAGACACCACAACCTGTGCTCCAAGGTTTTCAGATTGAGCCCTGGTACATCTGCTTAAGACTCCACCACCCATCACTCCTGCCTGCACCTGTTCAGGCTGTGCCTCCCGCTTGCCCTGGGAGCCTGAGCGCCTTGGCAGTCTGTTGAATGAAGCTCCAGTGGAAGATGCACCAATGTGCATCCATGCAAATGATACAGTGAAAACGGGTCACGGTCAAAGTGTTCTTTTTCCAGCTTGCCTTGGTTTGGGTGCATGAGCGTTCTTTTCCTTTTTTGCCCTTTGTTTCGTTCTGTTGAGCTATCTTTCTCTTACACAGCGGGTACATCTTCCTCAGGTTCCAAGTTTGTTCACAGCTGATTTTGGCGCCGCTTCTGCGCCCCAGAATCGGAGAAGTCTTCTGCGCCGAGCGTCGAGACTTTGCTCGCCTTGGATTTTGAGGGCACCTGACCAGCTCGACGCTGCACACCCGAAGTGCAGCACACCCCAAGCTGGTTTGGACTGATCCTAGAGGTGTGCATAGTGAATAGTGAATGAAGTGGATCACCTCTGAATTCCTGTGATGAAAGGCATGCCTACTACTATTAATACCTGAACTTGAACATAGATTGATATGTTTTATTAGCGCACTATTATATATAGTATATATATATAATATATATATATATGTATCAATATACAGACGAATGTCCGAATGACATTCTCAGATACTGTTTGCAAACGGCAAGACTGTCCAATAATCGTCACATGATCGTAATCGTGGTCGATGGAAAGTCGCTGTCTGGCTTCCTTGCTTGCATCACTGGGAATGGCAAACCCTCAACAAAAAAACGAGTCCTCAAACAAAAACCACTGCTCCAGAAGAAATGGCCCACTGCTCCTGTGATTCCGCAGCATGGCCCATCAAAATCCCTTCCACATAAACGATGTCATCCGAATTCCAGGTCGACTCGGTGGACGCCTTCGCCTCGCTCTCTGGGTGCTCTTCTTTGGCACCACTCATCCGACGGCCTGGCAATGATCCGGTGGGGATGATGGATATGGGATGACCAATCGTATATAATTTATATCATCTATGAATCTATGATATTTCTTATCTTATATAATATGATATTATATAAGTCCGTTAGAGCCTGTGTCTTGTTTATTTCTGCACCTTTTCCATCCTTTTCCAAAGTCATACAGAACAATAGAAAACGAGTATCAGTATATTATATAATGATTAATGAGCACACATCTATCACTGGCAAAACGACCCGGATAAATCCGAAAACGACACATCGCGAGCACGACGCGGAGCGAGCCCGACACCGAAGGGCCCCCTTCTCACGTGCCTTGCTCCTGCGTGGCCTGTGTCACCTTGCAGAACCCGAGTGACTCGGACCAACGAAGCAAAGGGATCAAACCAGACGACGCAGCACGACGCAAACGGACGGGGCGAGCACGCGTGCTCGTTCGTTCGGTGAAGCCCAAGAAGCGACAGCCGAGCTGCTGCCTAGCTCTTTCGGGCTCTCGAATTACCGACTGTGGTGTCCACCTCACGTCTGACATGCCGGTCCCTGGTTGGTGTCTTTCCGCTCTTTACCAACAGCTTGAGCTTATAGATTGGCCCGGAACTCCCCAAGCAGAAGCAATAGCTTCGCAGCCTTGTCGCTGCCTTTTGCCAATGCGCGGCTTCCCGATCCTTTGTACAGTACCACGCTATCTAGCATGGAAGAGATCCAAACTTCAAACCATCCAGTGGGTGTGTCACAGCACGCATCTGATTGGTGTCTCTTCTGCTTCCCCAAATTATATACAGTACTTCGGAACACACCCACTCACCATGCCCATTAAAACCTTGACAGGCATCACAGGCCATCTTTTCCGGCTCTCAAGCCAAAGGCATAGCAGCCGCCCAAAGGCATAGCTTGATCTCAGTTCACCGTCCTCATGGGCAAGGCCGTCGCCGTCTGCCGCAGCTTCAGCTCCAGTTCGGGGTCGTAGCCCTCCTCGTAGAGCCGTTTCACCGGCGCGAAGATCCGCTTGAAGTTCCGATCCTGCCAGTCAAAAGTCTATGTGCACGGGTTCGTTGAAGTCGGGACTTGTTTTCACGTGAAGAAAAAGGAAACGGTGGCAACGCAAAAAAAACACGGAGAGAGGACGCTTTCTTTTTCGGACAAAAAGGGCTTTCGGATTCCCAGAACCAGGACGCTTTCAGTTGGATGTGACATCCCTAGGTTCACCTTCCTTCGATAGACCAAGGTTCACCCCTGGCAGCCCTGGCCTTCCGCAAGATCTTCAAGATCTCCGCTGCCAAAGGTGTTAAGTCGGGCACGTTGCTTTTCTCCAAACGCAAGAGCAACTGGAGCATCTCCGCCTCACCCGATGTCTGATGTCTGGGACCTACTAGGCATAGGCACAACGCTGCTATCGGTGGTTTGTGCTCATTGCTGACCGGTCCATTAAGTGTTCCATATAGTCCAACAACTGAGTCACAAGTGCCTGTTGTATCTCTACGTACAAGCTGAGGTCTCTACTTCCCATATGATTCTCAAAGATCCCGCAAGGAAGAAAGACGACACTGGGGGGGTGCTTCTCAAGAGCTTTCTCACTCCCAACAACGAGCGGACGATGTCCGCCCGACGATGTCCGCATGCGTCTCACGGTGATTCCGATGTCGCCTCTCTCAGGTTGGTGCTGAGGATGTCAGGTCGATGTGACGCAATGGCGTGGAAGACGTGCATCACGTCTTGAAACGATTCAGCACTGCTGATACCATCGTCCCACCTTAGGATTTAGGAAATCGGTCGCCAGATCTTCCCACAGGTCTTCCATAAGACACAAGGCAAGGCAATAATGGCTTGTCAAACCAACAAAATGGTCCATCCTGAGAAGGGGGTACTTGCTCATTCCTGCATTGCTGTGCAAGTTGCTTTGACACATGGTCAGCAAGTTGGGTTCGATTCTCAAACAGAGAAGTGACTATCTGACTTGGCAACTTTCCTTACCATTTGTTAGGGCTCACAGCAGTGTCAGGCCATCCCTAAGTCGCGATCCCGCGACAGTCACAGGAAGAAAAAGAAAGGTGCAGTGGAACAAGGGCAAGACACAGTTGAATTCCCAGCTTCACCAGCTCCTGTACACACCGCTCAGAGTTGTCTTGAATGACCTTCATGAACTCTTTAGATGCCGTGCATTGCATCAGCAATCTGCTGGCATATCTTCGTGCAGCCGGCATTTGCAACGTTTCCTTGGAACCCCCTGTGGTCGAGATTCATGGTCTTGGAAGTCCCCTCTGACAGGTTCTATGTCTTTTGAACGAAGGGTCTATATAAGTCTCTTGAGAAAGTGTGATTTATGTTATGTTCATGTTGTTTCTAAAATTGAAGAATAAGAAAAACTTACCTCAGGTCTAGGCATCATTCATGTGCGATGCCATGGGCTTCGTGGCAGGGAATGGCAAGCCAAGCACTGCCTCCAGGGCACCACAGCCTTCACAGTGGAGCAGTCCGAAGGTTAAACTAAACAAGCACCAAAAAACAAAAGAACAACAACACTTAACACGTCTCACAAAAGTGCCCAAGACATGTTCGTGCTCTCTTCGTTCATGCGACTGATGATGGTCTCCACATTCTCCAGGTAAGTCTGTGCCATCGTGCTGAGAGCTCTCAAGGCATGCTCCCCCAGCTCGGGCGCCTGCAGAAGTGGCACCAGGAGAGGAACGCCAGCTCCTCGAGCCCGGCAAGTGTTATGAGCACGTATACACTTATGGTCCTATGGTGGTCTGTGGGCCCGTGGGTGAAAAGGAATGTGCCCGGAGCCCTGAACCTTCCAAAGACTTGGTCGTCATGGGAGATGGGACGGGAAGACGAAGGCTCTGTGTTCGGATCTGTTGCCCAGGAGTGACTGGATCGAAAGGGCCGAGCTGTCGGCGCTTTCTCCGTCCAAAGATCTCCCGTTCACCCCCTGCGGGTCCTGCATTGAAGGCTGCCTCGTAGGCTCCACGTTCCAACTCACGATCCTTCAGCAGCTTTTGCTCGAGAGTCTTAGACACGACCTCCAAGAGAATGCCACAATACCTGCTTTCTTTCCAGTCTTTCTCCACAAAGATCATCTCCTGCCCCTTGATCTCCACCTTGACCCCAGCGGGCAGCATCCGTTTTGCCGCGTGTAAACATTGGGTGACCTGTGCTTGGTCCACCAGCTGCGGATCGTCCACGGCATTCTTGGCCACCAGCTCCCCCAGAGTCCGCACCGCCGGCTGCGAGCTCTGGAAGAAGCCACCCAGTTGGGGCATCAAGCCCCGAAGACACCGGCGCTTCAAGCGTCCGCCCAACGCCAGCAAGTCCAAGAGCAGTAAGGCTGCCTCCAGCTGATGGGTTTCACCCATCAGCCAAAATGTGAAAGGGCCATAAAGGGCCTACAAAGGAGTCTACAGAATTACGAAATGGGAGATCAAAATGAAGCCCTCCTGTCTTTTCCGGTCAGAAAACGATGTGCGTGAGGTTTGGTGGTGTTCGCCATTTCGGGTCTGCTGTTCGATCCCTTGAAATGATCCCAAACGCACCGTTCCGGCCGCGCCTGCTCCTTGCACTCCAGCGACACCGGCGGCGAGTCCGGGCCGAAGACCGGGTCGTCCTCCGGCGAGGATTGAAGCGCCGAAGCCAAGTAGAAGGCGGCACGCTCCACCACCACACTGTTGGACTGGATCAGATCTAAGGTCTGTGGTCTGCCTTGAAATCTGGCGAAGGTGAAACACACACACACACACACTCCTGAAGAAAGAGGCACAATTCGAATTAAAGAAGGCCGAAAGGGGAAGCCTAGGGCATGGCCTTGGGTAGCTTTGCGGCCCCCAAAAAACAAGCGGAAAAAAAATTTTGCTGAAGCGTTCGAGCCAGTTCGCAGAGTTCCCAGAGTCCATGTACCAGGGACACCAGTCGTTCGCAGACCTCTTTCTGCACTTTGCAGTTGCAGCCACCGAGCAATGCCCACAAACATAATGCTTCCGATGCGACAAACCTGCAGGGACCAAACGAAAAAGATCTCACGACCTCAAACCTTGTGCAGAGCCTGGCAGAGTCATCTGTCTTGAGGATCATGGATGATCATGGATGATCATGGATGATCATGGATCATGGATGATCATGGATGATCTCCGAAGCCCTTCAAATGTTCTGAAGAACATTCTTCATCCTTCAGGATCCGACCTGAGATTGGCCTCATTCTTCTCACAGATCAATGCTGTCACGGAGGCCACGGCAAAGGCGCCCGGGAGCTTGAACAAGTCGACAAACCTCGCCCCGGTCGCCCCAGTCCAGGTGATCCCCTAAAACCTCTGCCCTTCAGCACTGCAACCCATGCCCACTTGGCCTAGAGACCACCATCCCAGAATAAAGAAAGAAAGAAACAAACAAACAAACAAAACGTTATCTCACTTATGCATACTTATGCCATGTCCTGCCTGCCGTCCATGTTCATCCGCCATTGCGCCTCCAGCATGTTCAAGAGGTATCGCAAAACCCCGTTCGTTTGCAGAAGTGCCTGCAGGTCCTCCAAGACCTCCTACCAGGATGCAAAAGTTAAAACAAAGGATATATATAGAGAGAGAGAGAGAACCGTCGAAGAATTTGAATCAGCATCTCGGACTTGGCAAATCAGCATCTCGGACTTGTGAGTTATCGAACGAGAGGCAATTAAGAATCAACACCATTTCGCCGAACTTCTCCCCTTCAGAGGCGGGTGAAGGATCAAAAACAAAATTGATAGGGATCAAAAAAAAATTGTTTGAGGAGATCATTTTAAAAATAAGTTAGATCAAAAAAAATATTACAGTAGTAGTGGTGGTAGTAGTAGTAGTAGTAGTCCTAGTCGTAGTCGTAGTCGTAGTCGTAGTCGTAGTAGTAGTAGCAGTCGTAGTAGTACTACTACTAGTAGTAGTAGTAGTAGTCGTAGTAGTAGGAGTAGTAGTGGTGGTGGTGGTGGTGGTGGTGGAAGTAGAAGTAGAAGTAGGGTAGAAGTAGAAGTAGAAGTAGAAGTCAAAAAATGTACCTTCCAAACATAATTCAATATCAATCTGGAGCGGTCACCAGGATATGGAACGACCAAAGAGACGAAGGGACCAGGGGACCAAGAGACTAGGACCAGCAAACCAGTAAAGCTCAAGGGACTAGGACATTCAGGAAGCAACAGAGGGAGCAAGAGGTCAAAGGGACCAAGGGATCAGGGGTTTAAGGTTTCTTTAGGCTTTGCTCACGGCTTCGCTTTTGGGTTTTCTTCTTTAGGGTTCTATTTTGGGCCTGGTTGAGGGCTTCGTTTCTTTAGGGTTTCTTTGTGCTTGGCTTGAGGCTTCACTTCTTTAGGGTTTCTTTGGGCTT